CTTACCAAAACGTTCATTCTTTTGGATTTGTATGAAGACACTGCAATCTCAGCTGAACTGAAAGTTTTCTTGGGCTTTACTCTTACACTTTCAGCTTCAACCAACTCCCATTCCAGACAGCTGAGAAACTCAAACAAGCCGAGTTGAGAAACTTAGAAAGACTGATGATGATGAAAGTTATAAGAATATAAGTGAGGTGATGATCGGACCGGAGAGACCAAGCGTTAAATTTTGTTAACGAAATACAAACTTGAAGAAAAAATTTAACAAAAATAATCACTTACAGTTCCCGACCATTATTGAAAGGAATTGTTGTATAAATATCCATATTTCCCGACATAAGATCAAATTCCGCGAAGATTTGACATTTATCTTCGAAGAGCGTCCATCTTGCCTTGGTGCTAAGCAACGTTAAGGCGAGATCACGTGGTACAAAAGATCACGTGGTACTATCTCAGACATACGATTGGTCGAGAAAGATGACGTCAATCTGTCACGTGATCAACAAGCCTCAAAATAAAGAATATTATTCTTACGAAATGAGGCAGAAAGTCTATTTTTTATTTTTCACATTAGCCCAAGATGTATAGCTGTACAGATTTGGGTCCAATAAAATCGGGCACCATATATAACTGTGTAGATTTGTGATATTGGTTGATCAACTAAAAATCAAGGCATGAACATAGAGTTAAATAATAAGTTCTATTTATAACTCTATGCATGGGCATGAACTACGAAAATAGAATTAAAAGGTTTATTTTGTTATGTTTTTGGTTTTTGATTTGCTCGGTAGGCCCTAGGCCTAGTCTGGGTCTTTCAATCTTCATAGAGCCAGTAGAGTGTAGAGGTCAAGATACTTTTACATCCAAGTTTCCCCCTGTGTCAAGTAAGTCATGCAGGCCAGATAATCTAACAAAGTGTCTAGTTGTTCGAAAGGATAACAAAAAAATATCGGGGCCTCGCAGCGCCTGCCCTAGAACTGGGGATACAAATAGGGTAATATGTTTTTGCGGGGGATTCTACGTAAGCGCTGTGGGAACGCCAAAGTTACAAACCTGCTATGCAGTGTTGGTACCAGCCTCCTGGAACAGGGGGTACAAAAAACATGTAGCTGTCGGGGCATTATTCTAGAAATGCTTGCAAGTGTGGCAGAGCTGGGGTTGGAAAGTCTGTTAGATTCCATGCGGATTACATCCATTTTTGGATCGCAAGCTTTTGAGAATTATCACCAGAACAAAAGCCAAATTTCATTGATCATTGCCCCCTGTGGCGCAGAACCCCAACTGACACCGCTAATGGTCTTAATCAGAAACATCTGCCTCATACCATTGCCCAGTTTGGAAACATGTCACCAGTATGAAATATTAGGACCTACACTTTTAATGAATTTTTGTCAAAGTAGTGTATAGTGTATAATATATGAGGTAAAAATTGAATGCGTTTTCAAGAACGGGGTCAATAACTCATAAAAAATATTTTTTGATTTTTAATAGGGTTTATATAATTATGGGTGATAATTAACAAGCCTCGTCAAAATTCGTCAAGAAATGTGGCTTGTAGAGTGTTTACGGGCTACAAATAGAACGCGTTTTCAAGAATAAGTGCAATAACTCCACTTAATATTTTTTCGATTTTTTTGATTTTCAATACTATAGGGTTCATCCTTGTGTAAAAGACTCACCAAGATTCATCAATATCCTTAAAGAATATTGCCTTAAAAAATTGTCGAGCCTACACGCGTGGCAAACACAAAACAAAAAGGTCTACACATGCAACCAGCACCATTGCCAGGAATAAATGGGGAGTTAGGCTGGATTCTGTGCGGAAGTAGTGCAGGCGTGACCCATCGACTTTTATAAAATAAAACTCGTTATCAAAACGTTTATACTTTTGATTTTTGTATGAAGACACTGCAATCTCGGCTGAACTAAAGGTTTCCTTGGGCTTAACTCTTACACTTGCTGGGGCCCGTGGACCCAAGACCCAATTACCCTTACGACTGTTCTAGGCCTATAGGCTATCGTATGCAACGACGGCGACTTTATGGATCCTTACCATCACGACACTATACTAATAGTAATAGCCAGTACTAATTAATATACCGTACTAATTATACTAATAGCCTACTTTACAGTGGTAACTAGATTACATTATTTACATTGCCATTAGTCTTATTCGCATTCATAACAATCCATCCTTTTTTTGGTACCATCTGAACAGTGCAACGAGTTCGGAGTAATTAGGCGACTTATCTTTGACATCTTATTATGAAAGAAAGCGTCAAAATGTGTAACGCCAACAAAAGTCAAAAGCAAAAGTTTGCTGAGACTGAGTAAAGAAAGAAGAAAGTGAAATAAAATGGAATAAGGAGAAAAAACAGAAAGTCACAAAAGGCCAAGCCTTAGCCTAAGTAGAAGCAAGAATTTAGAATTAAAAGAAAGAAGGGACAAAAAACAATACAAAATGCCAAAGAAAGTAAGAAAACAAAGGGAAAAGAGAAACTGAAAGGCCGAGAAATCTAGACGAGACGTACGAATGTATATTAATGAAAAAAAACTCAATAAAAACTAGACAGAAATGATCACTTACAGTTCTCGACCATCATTCATAGGAATTGTAGTATAAGAATTCATATTTCTCTACTTCAAGATAAAATTCCGCGAAGATTTATCACTCTACTCTTCGAAGGCCATCCATCTTGACATGGTGCTAAGCAACGTTAAGGTGAGATCACGTGGTATAATGTCACGTGGTATTTCTAAGTAATATCATTGGATGAAGAAGATGACGTCAAATTTCGTCTCAAAAGTCATGTGACTGAGAACTAAGAAAAAGCTGCCTGGCTATTTTTGTGTTTCTTTTGAAGTAATTCGATCGTGGGCCGCCAACGAATTATTATTTTATTATATTATTATCATTATTATGGATAGCTCATTCCGATTCGTACAAGAACTCGGTGGTTAGAATACACTAAAGCCTGATAATAGGCCTAAATATATAAATAACATAATCATCTTAGGCCTGTGTCTGTTACAATAAATAGTAGGCTAGGCTACCTAAAAATATACAATCTTTATATATTCGAAAAACGGTGGTTAGAATACACTCAAGCCTGATAATAGGCCTAAATAAATAAATAACGTAATCATCTTAGGCCTGTGGCTTTTACAATAAATAGTAGGCTACCAATCTCAATATACAATCTTTATAGGCTATATTCGAAAAACTATGACGGATTAGCATAAGCTTCGGCTTGTTTCCGAAACCTTATTTATTTTCTGTAAAAATTTCATTTAATATAGAAAAAAAATATTGTTTAAATCAATGTGAATAAAACAAGAATTTGCATAATTTTGAAAATTTCAGTTTTCAGATGTTTCAAATAGGGCAATTTGTACAATTCTGTTGAAGCAACAAATGTAAACGTCCTTCCTCAAAATTTAATAATGTGGACAGACTTTATACTAGTTGCATTTTACATCTTACAACGTAACTTACGCATGGGTTTACAAACTTCGGCTAGGTCACAGAATCATCATTTAAACTGATATTTTAAATTATTTGCAAAATGGGTAGCCAATGCGAATTATGTAGGACTGAGGTTATCTGAGAGGTTTGAGAACAAAATTTGTTGTGGATGTTTTGGATCTAGGATGGTTTGTGGGCAACGGTCTGAGTCTAGGTGGCAAGTGTTTGCGAACTTATGGAGGTATTGGATTATGGCCTCTGATGGTAAGAGTTTGCAATCCTATGGTCTAGGCTGGTATAAGGGTTTGTGATGTTATGGACTAGGATGGTAAATTTATCTTATAGGTTTACAAACGAATGTTCTTATGCTATTAAGGGTAAGCCTATGCGAACGAATGTCACTATACTTGTAAGGGTTTGCGAACTAATGTCCCTATGCTGGACTACGTAGTAGTAGGGATTCTGTGTGGTAAGGTTTGTGGTCTAATTACTCTAGTGTGGCAATGATGATATAACTATTCTAACGTGGTAAGGGTATCTGATATATTAACTCCAGAGGAGTGGGAGGCAAATCATAACCAGGTCCATGCCGGAGAATAAGGGACGGCCCACAATTAAAGTATAAGCCCTCTAGAGTTGTCTCCCATTAAACACGTGTTTCATGAGTAAAGTTTCAAGCCTTCAGTGGTCACCTATTTTAGATCAGACCGCCACTTCTTAACTAATAATGACTATCTGGTCGTACTAAAAATAGTGGAGATTCTCACATAGTGCATCTAGGTGGTGTAGAAATGGTTGGAATCGGTCAGTGTATCTTGGTCTAAATGTGGTTTGTTCAGCTGAGCTTATCAGTTTACAGTTTAACCTGGAAATTTTATCTTTTATGGCCATTATGTATTCATAATTATCTGTGTTACAAAATACATTGACGATTCACTCTTCTCATTACTTCGCCATGTAGAACGGTAAAGGACTAGATAATCAAATATTATCTGTATTCCTATTGTAGACCATCTGTTTAATTCCTAGTTCCAGTATGTTTAAGGAAATTATGTGATTTTCGTAGAATTCTAGTACCAAGTCAAGCCATTTCGAAATGCGCTTATCATGGCAGCTTGTAAATACATCAACTTGGTTCGATTGTACCTTAGCAAATACAACCTATCATAGCCATCGACAGAATGTCATGGGCTATGATTGGTTGTATTAGCTGGCATTCAATGCAACGGCTGAATTCTGTTATACAAAAAGGTGGTTGTCCCAGTGAGGATATAAAAGTTTGTAATAGCTTGTATTATTACTACTACTACTGTCTACATATGAACTACTATACCAGGACCTCTTAACCTACAACTCCGTATCAAATCTTTTTCTACTAATGGAATACAGCTGAGAAGAAATATGTCTTAGTTGAACTTTCATTGCATTGCAAGATCTTTGAACATTTAAAGAAACAATTTGTCTGATGTGTGAAACTTTATTCTTTATTTTTTTTTCAGAACAATTCTTAAGCACCTAAGTATTGAATGAGTTTACATCTTGAGTTTTGTTCTTCTCCAATGTCTTCTTTTGGCGTTATATCTGAAAATAGATATTGATATAAGACATGGTGATAATTTACTTGATGCAGCAGCAATAGGTTATAAGTCAAATGCTTGATTAATTAAGATTTGGTACATACTACATGTATCTGATAACTGCAAATAATAACACTTACCGGATGGTGTTACCAGTCCTTAATCGCACCCATTGTGGAACAGGTCTGTTTTGTTTCATTTTTCTAGCTAACTTGAGCTTTGTCTTCAGAGATTTGTGTGCTGCCTAAAATAAATTCATTCAACCGAATAAGTTTCTATGTATTATTTCTATACACGTGATCACATACCAGCACTAATGACACTCATTTCAAAATTTAACTAATAGTGAAATGAGAATGAAAAAACTCAATTGGGAACCCATTGTGGTCTGAAAAAATATTCAAGTATAGTGTGAAGCACGCTCTTTTCAAACAAAATCCACCTCTATCTGGACATTATCTAATCATCTATTCCAAATCCCTGGCTTAACACCTAAATACACATCTTGGTGGTTTAGATTGAAAGTGATTTTTCCATATTTTTCATAATACAGGCCGTATTTCCACAATTATTACTGCTTACCATTTTGGACGCCCCTGCTTTTCCCAAAGATGGCAAGTGAAAGACCGGAAGTAAGGGTTTGTTTTCATACGCCGCAGAAGAATCTTTGACATAAAAAATAAATAACTGTAAATATTTAATTTTGAAGCTAGTTATACAAAATTTCACGTATAATGATAATGTGATAATGACTTAGTTTAAAAAAATTTTGATTTTCATCTGCCGAACAGAACCTTAGATACATATAAATGTATTAATACGCGCAAGATTCTCACAATTTGACATACGGCTGAAAGAATCATTTTTTTAACACTTTGGGATTCATTTACATGCTTTAGTAGCATTCACAGCATACAAATGTACTTCAACTATATATTTGCCATTAAATATAAAGAATATATCAATGGACTATACTAACTGCGCATTTACATTGTAGCGTCTTTTGCTGTGTATAGGCTCAACAACAGGTGCACTCTTTTGATTGTAACGATCAAAACAATTCAGATTTTGACAACTAAAACGTCTTTGAAAATCACTATATGAAAACCAATTACACAATTAATGTTAAACTATAAATCAAATATAAAGCTTCTATTTTAGAATATCTTAACCTTTGAAATCTAGTCGAATTGATACTGCAATCTGCATTATAGACTGAATAATATAAAAAAAATATAGGGCATAGGCCTAGTAAGTAGTATGCATAGATTTTATCCCCTTCTTGCAGTCAGTACTCAGTATGATATTAAAATGGTTTAAGTTAGACCTATAAGACAGGCTATTATATACTGGGTATTATATCTCTAATCCATAACAGATGGTGCATACTACATACATTACAATTATAGGCTACTTGTAATTTAATAATAATAATTGATAAAAGAGGCCTACTAATAGCATATTATGGCTATAATCAAACTTTTATGATTTGTGACTATCATACTAATCTCACTCAAAACCATCCCCTCATATTTACAAAAAAATAACTTTGTAGAAAAAAGAGTATTTCTCTGAAATTTAGATCTGGTACTAGCAAACAGGAATATGGCTTGACTGGGCCACGCAATGGCAGCTAGTTCAGTAGACCTACACCTTTAAGGTGATTCACAGCATACTCTCAATCTTACACCAGTTAGTTTAGTAGCAGTGGTCATTTATCTTAAGCTTGAAATTGATTTTTAAAACCATAGAATACATTGCTAAACTCTGATAAAGTCACTGGACTGACATTAGGCCTTCCCCCGTGTCAATTAAAGATCAAAATCTAAAATCAGTTTTCAGATAGTATTCTTTGAAATATTTTTTAGGAAATGCATAAAATGATGTAACAAATTTATCTAAGAATGAATTGAACAATTCCTAATTCTCCATGCAACACTAGAATTGATCACAATTGAATTTCAAGATGTTTCGGGTGCTAGAAAAGGACACTTGTGAGACAGATGAAAAATATGAATTGGTAAGAGTCTTTTAGTTAGTCAGAACTTCATCGTTTATGTATTTAATTTAAAGAGATAATAACTTCGGATTTTTCAACCCGGTTTCCCCCATGTCAGTGATGCAGTGATTAGGGACTGACATGGAAAAAGCATCAAGTCGTTTGGATGGGACAATAAACCAAGGCCCTGTGTGCTACAGGCTTTGCATGTTAAAAATCCCTCGACAGTTGGAAATCAAAAAGAGCAGGCTTAGGCCGATGTCCTGGCCAAATTTCACAGCCATATTTCCCTTATTGCACCCTGCATGGCGCTGCCAAAATGATGCAGAAAAGTAGGATGTAAAACTTAAGAATTAAGGAAGTTAAGAAATTTCCCAGATGGATAGATAAAGAAGCTGTTAAAAGGTTTCAGAATCTAACTTGCTTTATTTATTATTTTTATGAATTATGTTAAGGGATAAGCAGTTTTGGGGCAGATTTCTTGATGCTTTTCAAATTTCACAGATTTGACATTCATCAATGTGAAAAAGCGCTTCATAAATCAAATTTATTTGCGAACTGATCTAGGCTAAGTGGTTGTCTTCTCTTTCTAATTTCAGAATCCATATGATAGTTTTATGAGGAAACATTTACAACACTATGGTTATTTTACAGGTGAGTTAAAAAAAAAGCAAGATAATCGCTATGGTGTGAGGGCCCACTAATATAACAACATGCATAAACAATATGTCCACTGTCCAGCCATAAAGGAATAAGGTCTTCTAAATATCTACTATTATCAGCTGGTATAGCCCAATTGAAGCTATCAGAATAACATTTTAAAATATAAATCTGACGTCTGGTTCTTGTACCATGTAATCAAATCGTACCAAGATAATTATTGACACTCAAGAAGGTATAACATTCTCCCATGCAGATATTAAGTCCTTCTCAAACTAAGAAATGTTCTGATGCCATGGCCAGTGCTTCAAGAGACAGTCAACCCCTTCCACCTTCCAGATTTAAAAAAAATACTATTATGTAAAAAATTAAGATTGTCCAGGCTTACATATGTGAACTGTGACAAACAACAAGCAGATTGGTATGGCCTAAGTATGCTTTTGAAAGTATTACTTATATCATTTCATACTTTACACAACAATAAGTCTTTTATTTGATAATTTTATTAGATATCAATAGGGATATAAAAGACCATAGTATAATAAACATTTCAGGGACTTAAGGGATTTGACCAAATTCTATTTCGAATTGAGCTCAGTATACTAGTTATAGGCATGAATTATTACCATTTCTTCATTTCAATTTCTATTACCATTTCTTCATTACCATATTTCCATTACAATTTCTTCATTACCATTACAATTTATTTATAACCATTTCTTCATTTCCATTACCATTTCTTCATTTCCATTTCCATTACCATTTCTTCATTTCCATTACCATTTCTTCATTACCATTTCTTCATTCCATTACCATTTCTCCATTTCCATTACTATTTCTTCATTTCCATTTCTATTACAATTTCTTCATTTCCATTACCATTTCTTCATTACCTTTCCCATTTTATCATTTCTATTATAGCCATATACATACGACTAGAATTGAATTCTTAGAATTGGTAATATCAGCTCATGCTAAGGTTTATTATTGATGCTGTGTAATTGATGATAGTGTAAATTGGAGCTATATGACATTGTATTGAATACATATTAAGTTCTAAAGTAACTATTAAAGTAAACCGATTGGACTATAAATATATTAAAGAGACACACTTCCATAGGGGATATCCAACTTTACCTACCCATTTTGATAAGTGAAATGGGTTTTTTGTTTCCACTATGGAATGAGGTCCCTGGGGGATGGACTTTCGTTTTAAGGTACATGCACCAAAGATTGAAAGATATTGTGATCCACACAGTCTTATGAAAATTAAACCAAATTTTATATTTTATTTTTAATATATTAAGTTAGGATCAAACGACAGCCCTCAAATTAACCTTTGACCTAACTCAATGACATCTGCTTTAACCAATCAAATCTCTACCCTCTCCAGAGCTGGCATTTTGTGACATGGTGTTTATAAGGTTAGGTCAAAAGGTTCATTTTACGAACGTTTAAGAGGTCCGTTTTTGGACCCTAACTGAAGAGGCTATTAAAGATAAAAACTAAAAAAAAATGGAACAAAAGTTTGGTGTTAGATGGTGATGAGAACATAGTCTCATAGAAGCACTGGCCTAGGTCACATATAAACTTATGCTAAAACAAGGTGCAAAAGTTTAGAAATATTAATGGAGTTTCTTTTCAAAAACAGCTTTGTCTAATTTTAATTAAAGACTATGTAGATCGCAGTTTGTATTTCAAAAAGTGCCCCTTTAAAAGTATAGTTATTACCTACCAGTCTTTTGTTACAATAGAATACAATGTATAATATAACCACATAACCATTAATCCTATATTTATGGCAAGCATGGTAGTTTATTAGAATAGTTTATTAGGAATATAAGGACAACAGAAAATTGTGATATATTACATTTGGATATCAAATATTATGTATCTTTATGAATGTGTTATGATAGGATTATGAGACTTCAGTATAATGATATGTGCCTTCCAGAATAAATGTGTTCTAGAATAAATAATATTATGTGTCTTTAGGATACCTGAAGGTATTTTATGACTTCAAAAACAAATAAATGTGTCTTCCAGAATAAGTAGTATTATTGTGTATCTTTAGGATAAATAATGATATTTACTGATACATGATACATTGTGTCTTAAAGATTTAAAAAAGGACATTATCTGTTAGATTAAATAATATCATGTGTCTTACAGAAAAACAGCATGTGTATAAAATATCATGTGTCTTCAAAAATATAATACTATGTGTAAATGATTATTATTGACTATCACTTCTATTATGTGCATCAATAGCTAATGTTAAACTGAGTGCGATACATAATTAAAAATGGAACGCCAATTTTCTTTATTGGATGAAATAGATATTTCTTTTCGTCATTTAGAATATAAAGGTAAACAGGACAGTTTTTATTTTAATTTAGCCACTCCACTTAAGGTCTGAAGACAGGCCTCATGAACATTCATCCATTTGATGATGCCACCAGCCAATCAAATTCTTCCCTCTCCAGAGCTGGTATCTTCTGACATGAATAAAAGGTGTATTTCGAGAAGCATTAGACACTGAATACACCTTTCATTTGCACCACAAAATCCCAGCATTGGACAGG